CTTAAGGCAGGAAAGCACTTGGCTAGCTTGATTAGAGTATAGAGGCTAGGGGGGAAGTAGAACATGGGGAGGTTGTTGAGATTGTTCAAGGACCTGTAGTAGTTCAGGTGAGAAGTGAAAGAAGCTTGCACAAATGTGGTAGCAGTAGAGAAGGGGAGAAGTGAACTTGTTCTAAATGTATTTTGGAGGAAGACTCTATAGGACTGACAAATGGATTTGACTGGGAGGGCAAATGGAGAAGACTGAGACAAGGATGGTGCTTGGGTATCTGGCCTGAGCTACTGGATGGTGTAATTGAACCACTTTCTGGGATAGGAAAAGAGAGACAATCAAGAGTTTAATTTTGGACATGTGTATTGAGATGCCTGTGAGATACCCATCTCTTTTCCCTTCTCTTTTCTATTTTGATTATATTGCTATACTTCTTTTATTAAGCCATTTATCAGAGTGGGTCAAGGAAGGTATATTATAAAAATGACTTCAGGCTCAGATATGAAACTACCTGGGTTAACGAGAAGCATGCTAATGAGAATAAGCTAGAGAAACTAAGGTCGACAGTAGTTCTTAAGCTTTGGTTGCAAAGGCTTTTCAAATTTCTCTGCCCAGTATTGGTTTCAGCTTCCCTAGGGACTCCCATTGTGAATTTATTCACTGATAACCTGAATTTACCCAGCCATTTGCCGCATTTCTTTCTCTAACCTCTCCTGCCTTTGCTTTGTTTACCCACTTTACTGTTTAAAAACCTTCAGTGGTTCTCCACTGCCTTCAGGATAAAGTCCAAACTGTTAAGCATGTTATTCAAGTCCTTTTTAAATCTATCCTCTTTGCCTGTCTTTCCCTGTCTCCCCATTCCATCTTTACATACATTCTAAACATTTACAGGTGTTCAGTGAGCTAATTTGAAGAGTATTACCAATAAGTAAATCGTTAAACTTTATCCCTAAGTAGTGATTGTAAGGGAAATTTTCTTAGTGTTGCCAAACTGTAGTGTTTTTACAAAGTTTTCCACCCAAGAAGCATTAATGGAGTACTGACTGTCCTAATGTTAGAGATACAAAAAAGATGAAAGATAGCGTCCAGCACTTGCAATCTGCTCAGTATCAGGTTTTTAAAGATCTGATTTGCCTGCAGTCAACAGATGCACACTGTTAAAACAAGTGTATCTTTGATACCAGATGGGGTATAATTCCTAGGGTTTGGAGGATTAGGATTGAAATGGAATGGGAACTCATTACTTTGTCTTCAGTGCCATGCTGATTTTTTTAAAATCAAAAGACCTCTTTCAGACATTACATAAACAGATACCTCCTTTGGATTTTGTATCCAGAATGAAAAATAGTATTATTTACAGAGGAAGGGCCTATTTGTAGAGCATTTATCCTGTTTTTACTGTTTGACTTCTTTGTATCTTTTCCTCTGGTTACCCATTCTATCATTTTAATGTGAAGCATTTGGCTGTATGTATAATAGATTTGTCAGGATGAGCTTTTAGTAAATGGCCCATAGAATTTTTCTTTTTGCTATTTTTAATTTTTAAAAAATTCTGATCAACCTCAGAGCTAACTGAAGATACTTGCCTGATTTTTGGTTTCATTTTACAATTTCTCTCCCCTACCCTACCTTTGTTTTTGTGGCTCTTACTAATAGATTGCTACCCATGTGCATAGCTGGAAATAATATACATAAAAACCATCCTTAAATAATTTATTTTTATCTACTTTTTCTTGCATAGATTGAATTGTAGCATTTCTGCCGAATACTTCATTGTCTGATTTCCTAATTGTTGTCTTCCATTTATGATATTACCTGAAGTTGGTTTCAGTATGTTGCAAAATAATTCTTTTGCCCTCTGCTTATGTAACTGTTCTTTATATTGTGTTGTCATCTGTTCTTATGTTCAGCTTGTTTTTTACATATGTCCAATTATGTGGCAAAATGTATTCTCAGATTCTTTGTTCATATGTCTTGATCATTTCTTCCTAAATGTGGCAAAGAGATCATATCAATGAAGATAAGAATACTGACTGGGCAAGTGTCATGGCTACATGTACAACTTGGAATTGTCACAGCTCTATGGTTAAAAATTTCAATTAACTTTTTATTAAGTGTTAAATGAGTTCTAAAAAAAAGTTAATGGTTTAGCTTCCACATTTACTAGTTGGTTGCATTCTTTGCTGTGTTCATTAATTCAGCAAGCATTTGTTGAGCATTTATTGATTGTGTCAAATATTTCTCATTGTTCATATCCTACTTTCTAAAAATAGCTTTTTACCATCTTTGTTTCTCAGGCATTTTGAGTATGTTCCCAAAGTAATAGTGGTTTTCTCTGTCTTGCTATTCAAAATATGGTCAGCGGGCCAGCAGCATTGGCAACATCCAGGAGCTTGTTGGAATCCTAGTCTCAGACCCTATTCCAGACCTGTATTCCAGAATGTGTATTTTAACAAGATTGATAGGTGATTTGATTCACATTAAAGTTTAGCAAGCACACATATAGCATATGGATTGTTACTAAAGTCATATCTGAAATCCATGAAATAGTGCTACATCCTCAGCCTGTCCTCTGTTTATTTTTGCAAAAGCAGTATGAAGAAATTGTTGCTCTCATATCATTACTCTTTTAGAATAACTGATGGTTTGATATCTAGATTTTCTTTCTGGGTCACATTTGATTACTTAGAGATGAAAGAAAAAGAATTTTGTAAAAATCAATTGTCTACACCTAATGTAAGGAGGAATTGAAGGTAATTTTATTTCTTTTATTTAAGTACAAGTATATTTCACTTAGGGTAACAAATTAAGAATGTATATTGGTTGGTAAATGTTTTAGTGGGGTTTATAAAGACTGGATTACATATTTTATTAGTGCAGAGTAAGTTTGATAACTTTAGTAAATGAGACTAGGAAATGTGCTTCTATAAATATTTTTATTATATTACTTAAAATATTTTTAACACTTAAAACAATTTGAGTAGATTAGCAGTAAGAGCCAACATAAAGGCTTTTTCTTTTAATATAATACCTTTATTTAGTTCAATATCACTTAAAGTGGTTCGTTTGTCTTCTAGCAGAGTGACCTGGGGCAAGTTCCTTTCTGAGTTTCAGATTTCTTCAACTCTAAGATTAGGTGATTCTTCTTTCCCTTCCAGGTTTGTCGAAAGGCTTAATTGACATAACGTAGATAATGTCCCTGACATGGGATGCCTGGTACAGAAACAGTGCTCAACACCACTAGCTTCCTTCCCTTTTCACTGCTTTGGTTCCATTTATACACAATCATTTAGATTTTGCTTATATTGTAAATAAGATTTCTCTTGAATATTTTTCATATTGGTTAAAGTTGAATCAAGAATATAAACTCCATAATGACATAGACCTTATTTGTTTTGTTTTGTTTACTGTTGTATGCCCAGCACCTAGCATAGGACCTGTACTAGGTGCTTGATGAGGATTTGTTGATGAATGAATATAATGCATATGAAGCAAAGTTACTTGAATAAATTTAGAGAATGCCTTTGCAGTTTATATTTGTCAGGTATATTCAGTTGAAATTAATTAATTCAACAAACTTTTATGAAGGCCTATAATATGCCAGGTATTCTGTCTTCATGGAACTTACATTTTAGCTGAGGGGAGGGAAAAGGAGAGGACAAATAAGGTAACAGGATAATTGTAGATAATAATAAGTGCAATAGTGTGAAGCCATCTGGAGGAGTAAGGGCCACTACTTTAGACAGGATGTGTGTGGGAGGCCTTTCTAAGGAAGTGACATCTGAGCAGAGACGGTAATAATGAGAAGAGCACCAGCTTTGGAGAACGTCATAAGTAGAGAGAACAGCATGTGCCAAGGGCCTGAGGAGGGAATGAGCTAAATATAGTTAATTAACTGAGATTGTTAACATCCAAATAAAATTACTTCATATAAATAGTATGGAGCAGATGTAAAGACAACGTAAATGCAGCTTTTTGAATGGAGTACTTTCAGGTATGGCAGTGAATCAAAATGTAAGATCATCAGTAGTCAAGTTCATTGCCTTGTGTCTCAAAAGTTGCCTTGTGTGTCGCTTATTCTTTAGTAAACAAGGTGTGACAGTGCTTTTTAGCTGTTATTGTGAGGCTTGATTAATAATACTGGGATTTCGAGATCAAGAGACTAGAAATATGTGAGGTCTACAGCCTACCTTCTCTTCCTCTTCTACAATTGAATTGTTTGCTTTCTAAATTTTTCTTCTCTATTTTGTTTCTTTATTTTTCTCTGTTATTTCTCTACATTGTAATAGTTTAACTGCCTACTCTTAAAAATGCTGAGCATTCAGAATCACATTTGTCAGAAGGAAGAAAAGGTCTTAAAGAACTTAAAGAGGGATACTTCTGCAAGAGCCTGTAATTTAGTATTGCAACATGAAAAACTAAGTTTTTTTGTGATTCTTTTAACTATACTTATCATTGCCATTGTCAAGTTTGATAAATGATCAGAATTCTGAATTTGGTGTTCTTAATAGAGAAGTCTATGCATTCTAAGAAATATAGGGAAAAAAGAACAATAGAGGGTTGGGGGACCTTTTAATCTCATCATCTTTTTGGAGTATAGAGGAGTAATTCCTGCAAACCTCACATTTTCAGGTTGATGCCCTCAGAGGACATTAAACACATAAGATCCTTTTTTTAGTCAGGATAAAGCTGTATTTGCTATGTACAGTTCTGAGCGTTGAATTTAAAATATACATTTCATAAGGCGACCTCAGGAGGTACTATTTTAAGCTAATTTCTCTATGTGCATATCTTTAGCAAGTCAAGGCATTAATAATTTATTCAGGATGTGTAGGTAAATATTTTTGTGCTTTAATGGAAAGCCTCGTATTTAATGGACTAGAGTACTGTCTGTTGGTGATTAAATACCTAAATATCTTAATTTTAGCACACTTGACCTGATTTAGGGCTTCGCCTACAGGAATGTGTTTTGCTTATAATAGCCTCTTTTTCCAACTTCATTTTAATAGCAACATCATGACAACAGAGAAGAGTTTAGTGGCTGAGGCTGAAAATTCACAGCACCAACAGCAGAAGGAAGAGGGTGAGGGAGCTACAAACTCAGGCCAACAAGAAACTCAGCTGGAAAAGGCTTCTGAAGCAGCAGCTGAGGGAGATAATCAGTGTGAGCAGAAACTGAAAACATCTAATGGAGACACTCCGACCCATGAAGACTTGACCAAGAACAAGGATCGGACGTCAGAGAACAGGGGCCTGTCACGGCTGTTCTCCTCATTTCTCAAAAGGCCTAAATCTCAGGTCTCTGAGGAAGAAGGCAAAGAAGTAGAGTCATCTAAAGAGAAAGGTGAAGGAGGTCAGAAAGATATAGAATTTGCAGCAAGTCTTGATGAAGAGATCATTTTAAAGGCCCCAATTGCAGCTCCTGAACCTGAACTCAAAACAGACCCATCTTTGGATCTTCACTCGTTAAGCAGTGCAGAAACACAGGTAGGGGTATGTGAATGTGTGGGAGGTGGGTGTAATGAGGCTAGGTTAGACACTTTATTTTTCATTTAAGAACATTTGGTTTTATTTGTTACTAGCCAGTTAACTTGGCATTGATAGTAGTAAGTAGCATGAAGTGTTGGAGTTTCTGCTCTAAAGAAATGAATGTAGTCATGGGGCTGTAAAGTACAGCAAAGAAAATATAGTCAATAATATTGTAATAACTATGTATGGTGCCAGGTGGGTACTTGAAATATTGGTGGCACTACTTTGCATAGTATATGATTATCTAACCACTATGCCATATACCCAAAACTAATACAAAATAATATTGAATGTAAAGTATAATTGAAAAATAAAATTTTTAAAAATAAATTAATGTAGTCAAGGGAAACTTGATTTTTAAAAGGATACTTATATGGCATAAATCAAAGAAAACAAAATGAAAGGAAAGAATTTTATCAAATGAATGTATGCAGCCTATATATCATTTTACTATAATAGTGGAACAAGCCCATAATATTTAATAAAAGGGAAAAAAGAATTCAGGTGGTTTAGAGTTTATTTTATTGGAATTATTAGGAGTGGGATAGTTAACAGCAGACATGATTCTTTTATTGGAAATCTTATAAAAACCATGTGATTCAAGCCATCAAGATTGTTCAAATCATAGAGAAGTGACACTTTTGCTTCATCAGTTTCTTCCTCTGTACAATGAGGATAATAATATCTACCTCATTTGGCAATTATGAAGATTAAAAGAGGTAAACATGTGAAACCTTACTTAAGTCATTGCCTGTCATATAGTAAGCATTCAATCAATGTCAGTAATTGTTGCTCATTTAGTAAACATGAACGATAAAGGCAAAGAAACCCTACATATCTCAATATCATTACTTTTATTTTAAGAATACCAACAGTTAAATTATACCATCTTTCAGAAAGCCTGGTACTTTCAAGAGGTTTTTAACTGCTTTTTTTGTCCTCTGTGTTATGTAGGGAAGAATCCGTATCTCATTCTAGTTAACGTTTGAATCAGGGTGTTTATTTTGTCTAAAGGTCATAGTATTAGTACTGAAGTTGAAACAGGTGACAGAATTAATTCTAGATTTAATAAAAATCTCAGTCATTGAAACTTCATTAATTCAGAAGTGGCATAAATTGTGTGCAGGTATTTATTTACATATAGAGAAAAAGAAACAAAGTAAATAATAATATTTCAAGGGGATATTGTTTAAAGGAGCACATTTTGGGGCTTTTTAGAAGCTAGTATTTTCAGTCACAACCTTGTGGGTCAGAACCTTGTGAATAAAGGTTTATGTGCTTAGTCATATTTCTTACATGTAGGAGAAATTCATTTTAGTGGTTCTTTTCTATCCGGGATTTTTAACAAAGTGAGGTTGCCTTATAGGGCTGTACCAGTTTTCATCTAGAGTGCCTTAGATTTTTTTGGAAGCCATGTGTCAGTTTTAATATTTATTTATTCATTAAACAAATATTTATTGAAAACCTACTATGTGTACTAGGCCCTAAGCTGAATATACATTGGTAAATAAAAACTACAATGTGGTGAAGAGGTTTGAGATCATGAACTTTGGAGCTAGACTGACATGTGATTTATTAACTGTATGATCCTAAGCAAGTTACTTGAACTTTTCTGGCCTCAGTTTCTTATCTGTCAAATGGGGATAATAATAGTACCCTCCCCAGAGGTTATTATAAGGATAAAATGAGTTCATAGGAGTAATGCTTTTGCAGTAACTGGCCTGTTGTAATTGCTATGTAAATGTTTGCTTTATTTTTATAAAACAAACATCATCCCTACTCTTGATGACTTTATATTTTAATGAAGGAGACAAAAAAGTAGTAAATACAAAATAATTTATCATAATAAATGTTATGAAGGCAACACACAAGGTACTGATGTGATGTGAAGAATGGTATAGATAAGATAGCTAATGAAGGCCTCTCTAAAGAGGCTACATTTAAGAGGGTCATGAGGTTGGGAGGGAACCTTTTAGACCTCTTCTAATATGTAATGCAAGAGCTAAATAGTTAAATCCTTCCTAAATGTCAACCATGTATTCTTTTAAAAAGAAAGAATTATTGAGTTTTAGTTAAGAATCTTCCAGCAATTTTGTTGTGCTTGAAGTAAGAAAGTCTGCCAAAATGTTGTTCCACTTACCTTTATCGCTTTAGGATGTAAATGTAAAATATATGAAGTTTCATTCTAAGATGGATAAAGATAAAAAATAACCTCATAACGGTTCAGGCCCTAGGAGACCCAGATTTCAATCTGTTTCTTGCTTCTTTGAATCTTTGCATTTATCATGATTGATACCTGGTATCAGTTAATTGGTCTTTACAGTTGTATATGTTGCTTTATGCTCTAAAATTGGTCCTAAGAACCCCTCTTAGCTATTCATAAAATTTTGAATATGTGACAAATTACATCTCATTTTGCGGTTCACTGAGCAACCTTGCTAAAATTGAGCATGGCACAGAGATGTTAAAGTTTTGATAGGCTTTAAAATTATATAATGGCATAGTCAGGAGGAACATATAATGCTGAAAACAACAGATTGGTGTCCTCTAGTATACCTGAAACCTTCATTTATTGATTTAAAAGATGGGATTCTACCTTCTATTATGAAGTTTTAAGAATAGTGGAGTCTGTAGATCTTTTGGGAGATTGTAGTATCTTTTATAGAAAGATAATTATTTAATCTTAGTATCACATATTTGTTTCAACAGTTTTTCTTCTTCAGTTAGTGCTTTTATTGGTAGCATTATTATAGGTAGAAGTGTATACTTCATGTTTTATGAAATGTCTTTAATACTGACTCGGTGATGTTATGCACATGTAGCCTGCTCAGGAAGAACGCAGAGAAGATCCAGATTTTGAAACTAAGGAAGGAGAAGTTGAAGAGTGCTCTAAAATAGAAGTGAAAGAAGAAAGTCCTGAATCAAAAGCAGAAAGTGAATTAAAAGCTTCCCAGAAATCAACCAGAAGACACAGAAACATGCATTGCAAGGTTTCTTTGTTGGATGACACAGTTTATGAATGTGTTGTGGAAGTAAGTGCATTTTAAGTTTCAGTAGTTTGCAACCTTGGGCATGTGCCCTAACTGGGAATCGAACCGGCAACATTTTGGTGCATGGCATGACACCCAACTAACTCAGCCACAACAGCCAGGGCCAAAACAATTTTGTTTAAAAAGAAAATAGGTTTGTTATTTATAGAGTGACCTTCCATGACTAAATTTCCTTAGATAGCCTCAATTTCTGACATTAGATCCAGCTATTCACATAATTGTATTTGTCCAAAAAAATTACTATCTGTTCATTTCTGCTCTCCTCTCTAAACCATCATAAGCTTTATTTTATTTAATGTATTTCTTTATCCCCATGAGATAGGATATAAATTATTTAAATCAAGGTAATGACATTTCTTAAAATTCTTTATTATTATCTGAAAGAGTAAGAAATTGAATCAAGATTGAATAAAAATAGGAGTTACTCAGTTACTCTTTTGCTCCTTCAGGACAAGTTAAAATCCTTAAAAATCTATTAGCTGTTTTTTAAGTCAGAGCAGTAATTGTCAATTATATGCTTGATTTAAAGCAATTGTTGTAATTACTAATAATTATTACTAATTATAGCTTTTATTAATAAAACAATTCATATATACTTGTATCTTAGGTTTGTAACAAATTATTTCTGAATTGAATTATTTATATGCAAATGCAAATATATCAAAGCTTAAATAAGTAGTCTAAAATATACTATATTTATTAATAGGTATTCCCTCTCCAAGTTTTAAAAAACAAATAAAGAAAAATATACTGTTGCACTTTGAAAATAGCTACTACACCTGGTAACTGGAGGAGACCTAGGGTCTGCTCTTTCTGCTTCTCACCACTAGCTAGTTTAGTGATGAGGGAAGTTATTCTATACTCATTCTTCCCATTCAGACCAAGATCCAGATATGGGTCCCTTATATCTGAAACATTTGGGAACAGATGTGTTTCAGAATTCAGAATATTTTGGGTTTTAGAAAAGCAATAAGTACATATTCTGCATATTTCATAACATACCCAGTAGGATGTGTAGCAGTCAGACATTTTGGTCAAACACATTATTTCTGTGGTAAAATATATGAAGATTCATTCTTAGATGGTTAAATAAAGATAAAAAAATAGCCCCATAACACTTCAGGCCAGAATTTGCCTCCAAATAAACTTTGACAAAAACAACCACCACTTAACTTCTAGATTTGGAATTATAAACAAGGGAGTAGGAACCTATACATTCCCAAATCATCTCTGAAGAATTCCCAAATCATCATCATTTAGTGTGAAAATATAGGTGAGAAAATGATGTAATATAAATAGTTAAGTCTGAAGGTGAATTAGTATCTATATGAATTACTAATAGTCATTAAAAATAACTCAGCTGATTGAGAGGACATGTGATGTATGTGTCCCAAAAAATTATTTCTAACTTTTTTTGAAATTTAAAAAAATATATTTTATCAGAAGGCATTAACATGTTTGGTTTTCCCCCCAACTATTCTAGTCAATAGGTAGGACAGGTGTAAATACAAAAGCTAATGTTCAGAAAGAATGATTGAGTAGATTTGGGTTATTTAGCTAGTATATGGAGGAGTCAGGATTTTTTACTCTAAATCTCACCTTCCAAGTTAGGGCATTTCTTTCCTGTGAACGGGAATCAAGTACCCAAATTTGGCAGTGGTTTATTTTCTAGGTAAATAGACATTAAGAAAATTATTTGTAGCACAACTGAAAGAGTGACTGCAGTAGTTAATATATGCAGGGTATCTAGAATTTTACACTTAATCCATTTTTTCTGAAAGAGATTGAATGGACTTGAGATATAGTTTATTCTCTTGGGACATTTGGTCTGAGAATGATAGAGAGCCTAATGATTTCCATAGCCACTAATAACTATCAATGTCAACAGTTGGTTCAATTAATTCAGGTGGTCATGATGACTGACAGTAGCCCATAGCAAGCTTCAGGAAATATTGCACCAAAAAAATAAAGAATGTTATGTTTAGGGTGGAAGTGAGGGGGTGGTGATAGATGGAGGGAAGCTGGAATTTTGCTTTGAATTGTAGCACTATTTCCAAGCCACTATAAGTGTGTTGCATATTTAAGTTGACAAATTATGAAGCAAGATTTTTGTAGCTCACATTGTTCTACTTATACTGTGTAACCATTTGAAAGTGTTAGTAACCAAGGATAAAAGAGGAAATTGGAAAATGACATTTTATTTTATTTGGTGATGAATACAGGAATAAAAGGAAACCTCAACTAAAGTATGTATATCTTTGCAGAAACATGCAAAAGGACAAGATTTGCTTAAACGAGTGTGTGAGCACCTTAATCTTTTGGAAGAAGACTACTTTGGTCTAGCCATTTGGGATAATGAAGCCTCCAAGGTAAGGAGACTGCTGGTACTGTAAGAAGCTGACCAAAAAAAATTGCTTTAATTCTTCTGTTGTTAATTAATGTATTTATGCCTGCCTCTCCAAGACACGATGTACTTAGAGTTATTCTTGTTTCTCTAGAATGAACTTTTTTTTTTTTTTAATATATCTTTTTTGATTTCAGAGAGAGGAAAGGAGAGGGAGAGAGAGAGAGAGAAACATCAATGATGAGAGTCATTGCTCGGCTGCCTCCTGCACACCCCCGACTGGGGACTGAGCCCGCAACCCAGGCATGTGCCCTGACCGGGAATCAAACCCCGATTGCCTGGATCCCAGGTTGATGCTCAACCTCTGAGCCATGCCCGGCCAGACTAGAATGAACATTTTAAAGAAAAAAATCATTGCTATTGTGCTCTTTCATCATTGAGAGTATCTACTGTTTATTATTATTTTTAAAATATGTTTTTATTGATTTTTAGAGAGAGAGGAAGGGAGAGAGAGAGACAGAAAGAGATTGGCTGCCTCCACATGCCCCCACAGGGGATCCAGCCCGCAACCTGGGCATGTGCCCTCACCCAGAATTGAACCAGCAACCTTTTGGTGCATGGGTTGATGCTCAACCACTGAGCATTATAGGATAATTATAATATACAGAGGTTGGCAAAAGTAGGCTTACAGTTGTGAGTACACAAAATAGTTTATTCTTGTATTATTATTTATTAATTATTGTATTATTTTCCATATGAACAACTGTAAACCTACTTTTGCCCACTCCTTTTTGCTTATAATTTGAGAGTAACATTATAAAAGAGAATAAAATCCCAATATTGTTGAAACACTTATACAATGAATTTGAGATTTTCTTCCGGCCTAAAAGAAAACCAGTAAAGTTAATTGAAGGAAGTAAAAGGAAGTGTGAGAAATGGAGGGGGGAAGAAAGATTAAAAGTCAAGTATTTACTTCAGAAAACTTGAATTGTTTCCTGGGCTAATTAACTGAATTGCTAATATCTAGCTCAGAAATGAATGATGAAAACTTTAGTTCAGCTCTGGGCCACTGAGGCCTGAGCTGAGGCCTGAAGGGTAGTAAAATGGGAAGTGAGTGGAAAGAGGGTGGCCTGGGGTTGAGAGAGTGGCGCTGGAGGAACTAGGAGCCATCCAGCCTAGCTAAACGTGGGGAGTGAGGAATAGAGTAATAGAGGAATGTAGAGCACTACACGGGGGCCAGGTTATGGAGAGAGAGTCTTCAGTATAATGTGTGTGAGCCATTTTAGTTGGTTCTTTTTCCAAGATGACTTACATTAAGAGAAGTTGAGGAGCAGCAGCCTTTAACAAACTGCAAACTGTCGATTGGGTTATTTGAGTTGGATAGTGCATCCTAGAAGACATGGAATTACCCTTTGCCCAAATAAGACCTATTTTGTAGAATACAGTGTTAGTAGTTACTTAGTAGTTTGCAACAATTTGTTCCTTCTGTGAATGACTTGATTCAAACAAAAGAAGTATGTCTACCAGCACTAGGTTAATACATTCTTTAAGGATTTAACCTTTACTTTGTCTCCTTAAAGGCCCAAGCCAAACTGTACTGAAACCTCTAATTTCCATTAGCAAGAAAAGATTGAAGGTAACTAAAACACAAAACAGTACCCGCAGAGCTGCTAGAAAATTCTCCCAAGAATCAGGAAATACTCTGAAATGTATTTTATGTTATACTCAGATAAAATTGAATATTTTTATATTGGGGGGGCTAGGTTGATTTGAAAGTAATTAAAAAAGACTTGAATTTGGTATTCGGTGACTTATAAAGTCACCGAATACTTTCTTGTTTAATATAACTGGAAATAAAATCTTTTAAGCAATTCAATTTGGAAATTTCTGTCTTTAAATGTTTCCTAAGGAGCTTATGAAAGAGGTTAAGGGTGAGGCTTTTTTCAAGTACCATTATTTTGCATGATCCACTGCAGTGGTGTGCAGATTCTAAGTGGGGTTGGAGAACAGTGAAGGGAGAGATTAGTGTGGACAAGAGTAGTCGGGGGAAACAAAATAGTTGTTCAGTGAACATTAACTGAGTACGAATCATGTACCAGATGCTGTGCTGACATAGAAAGCTGAACAAGACCAGAGGTCAGAGGTGGAGGGAAAAATAAGATCTGGGTGATATCAATAATCCTGGTTATAGATCTCTACTGGTCTTTATAATGTAATAAAAACAACAAGTGCTTATTTAGCATTTCTTGTTTACTAAGAGCTTTACGTATATTAATTCATTGAATCTTCACACTAACTCTGAGATAGGCCCTACTATTAATATCTCATTTTATAGATGAGGAAACTGAGGTACAAAGATGCCTAAAGACACTCAGCTAGGAAGTAGTGGAGCTAGGATTCCAGCCCAAATGTCTGGCTCCCTATTTCTCTGCTCAAAATTACCCTGCTATGTGAAATTAATACAAAGAATATTGGAAATGTAGGTTGACCTGGAGGCACTATTTGAAGATGGTCCGTAATCCTGCTTCTAGTACTCTCTTGTTTATGTTTTGGAAATCTGTGTGAATGCCTTTTCTTCTTTTTACAGACATGGCTGGACTCTGCCAAAGAAATAAAAAAGCAGGTTCGTGGTAAGTAAATATTGCCTTTTTTATAGTTCTTTCCTTTAGTAGGTCAGAGGATTTCCAACCATTTTCTGGCTGTGAGTCACTTTAGAATCCTGACGGTAGCAGATGGCTTTGAAATTGAGATAAAGCCTTCCCCTAGAAGGGGGAGATTCCATAACAGAAAGGTACAGCAACGGTGGATGCTGTGGAGATGTAGGTCAGATCTTGATTTTTTTGTTTTTTGTTTTTTACAACTAGGTAAAGTTGGGGAAGATAGGAATGGTTGAGAGAAACAAGGTGGAAAGGAACAAAGATGAAAAGAGAAAAAGGATATGGGAGTCAGTTCTCAAAAGGGGAGTGATTGAAACTGTAGTAGCAGCCTTCACTTAGGAGTATGCTGCCTGATTCTGTTCGTTTTAAATCGTTCTGGGCTATTGCATTCTAACCGTCTCCATGTTTCCTTCTCCATAGCTCTTTTTGTCCCTTTTTGACATTCCTCTTCCAAATTGAAGTATAAGAATAGATAATAAGAATTCCTTTCCAGTGACCCTTTTGACATTGTGGCTTTCTCCTAGTGTCGAACCCTCTAGAATATACTGCTGCTGCGCACCCTGCTCCAACTATTGTCTAGGAATAGATATTTCTAGGTAAAAAATATATATATATAGATTAGTATTTTCTAGCCCCAAGCCCAGTGGGCTGGCTAAAGGGCTGGCTAGATGTCCTTTTAGTTTAGTTTATTTTGAGGAAACTTCTAGGAGCTGCAAAGATGTTATTCATCATGATTAGTAAGTTTTAACTTTACCACCTGAAAACAAATTTTATTTTTTATTTGTTTCTTAAAAGAAAACACTTTTATTATGGTGGACTGTTTACCTGTAGACCCTCTTTGTAATTTATATATTTTAAGACAGAGAAACAAAAGGCTCCTTTAAACTGGCAACTTTCCATATTTGCTCCCAGCCTTTATAAAATCTTGTTTTAAAATGCACATCAGTAAAAAGTGTTCAGCGTATTTGAAACATGACAAGAAAAACATAACTCCTAGCCCCTTTCAGTGAAAATACTTTTAATATTCAATTTTACTCAGGAACAAGTTATTATATAAGAAAAGTCTCTAGGAAGACGCATTGAAACAGTTTATAATGAGTAGAGAAGACTATCTAGTAGATGATCTTTCTGGCTATAAAAAAAGTCTTTTGCTAAGAAATGAACTCTTGCCCGGCCGGGCGTGGCTCAGCGGTTGAGCGTTGACCTAGGATCCAGGCTATCAGGGTTCGATTCCCAGTCAGGTCACATGCCCAGGTTGTGGGCTGCAGCCGATCAATGACTCTCATCATTGACATTTCTGTCTGTCTCCCTCTCCTTTCCTCTCTCTGAAATCAATAAAGATATATTTAAAAAAAGAAAAAAAAAGAAATGAACTCTTAAGTGTCTTTTTTTAATCTTTTTTTAAAAAAATATATCTTTATTGATCTCAGAGAGAGGAAAGGGGAGGGAGAGAGAGAGATAGAAACATCAATGATGAGAAAGTCATTGATTGAGCCCACAACCCGGGCATGTGCCCTTACCGGGAATCGAACCCCGATCGCCTGGATCCTAGGTCGACGCTCAACCGCTGAGCTACGCCCGGCCGGGCTCATTTTTAATAAAATACAAAATAATAAAAATCTTTACTTCAACATAGGAAAGAAAAACTGTGTCCCTAACACAGACTTTAATAGGGAATCAAAGTATATGCATTTCATTAAGCCAAAGAGAGAAAAGACGTTTATCTATTGCACAAGTTTTTAAAAAATATTTTTCATTATACAACTAATATCTACTTATTATGAAAATTTAAACATTATGGAAGTAAATCATGGGAAAAAAATGAAAGACCTCTCTGTCCTCTAGATTTAAGCACAATTAAATTAGTATAATCTGCAAAATTTTTTTCTAGGCATATGTAGATTTTACCTTTCAAAAATACAATTATGCTCAGACTGGTGTAACCACTATGGAAAACAGTATGGAGGTTACTCAAAAAATTAAAAATGGAGCTGCCTTTTGACCTAGTGATCCTACTTCTAGGAATATATCCTAAGAATCCTGAAACACTAATCAGAAAGAATATATGCACCCCTATGTTCATAGCAGTGCAGTTTACAATAGCTAAGATCTGGAAACTGCCCAAGTGCCCATCAGTAGATGAGTGGATAAAAAAGCTGTGGGACATTCACACCATGGAATACTATGCAGCTATAAAGAAGAAGGCTCTCGTACCCTTTGGGACAGTATGGATGGACCTGGAGAATATTATGCTAAGTGAAATAAGCCAGGCAGAGAAAGACAAACATCACATGATCTCGCTTATATGTGGAATCTAAAGAACTTAATATGATGAACAGAATAGATTCAGTGACATGGGAGCATGGATCAGACTGACAAATCTCAGAGGGATGGAGGAGGGTGGGTGGGTGGAGGGGGAGAGATTAACCAAAGAATTTATATGCATATATGCACAACCCAAGGACATGGACAATGGTGGGGAGAGGGACTGGGGAGGGGGATGG